AATGTTGGGTTACATAATGAGGATCAAAAGGATTAGTCTGTAACCCAAAAAATACTGTGGGGTGCCTCTGAGTACTCCCATGTCTTATAGTGAAAGTTAGCAAAACTTTTACTAAAACATTTCAAAGAAGCTGTACTGCTCATGGCACGGAATATTCAGAAAGGAAGGTTTGGGTCATACCCAGATAAGAAACTATGAATAAGGTGCTTGCTAAGAGCAAAGGAAATATGGTACAAGTAGTAGAAGAAGGAATTATAAATACCAACTATAACCACCTATAAATTGTAGAAAGGAGGATTTTATTTTCATTTTCTCTTCCATTATCTATCATCTAACATAAATGTATGTTAATAGAGATTAATATTTTTCAAAAAGTACTTAATTTTGGAGAGCAGTGTGAGGGTCACAGTAGAAAGTACAGATATTTCTTACATAGTCCCTGCTCCACACATGCAGAGCTTCCACCACTATCAACATCCCATCCCAGATTGGGACATTTATTATAATCTATGAACCTACACTGACACATCATTACCATCCCAAATCCATAGTTAACATTAGGGTTTATTCTTGGTATTGTATATTCTATGAGTTTTGAGAAACGTATAATAACACGTAGTCAACATTACAGAATCATACAGCACAGTTTCATTGTCCTAAAAATCTTCTGCCTATTCATCCTTCCCTCTCCCCTAACCCCTGATCTCTTTACTGTCTCCACAGTTTTCCCTAATCCAGAATGTCATATAGTTGAAATTATATAGTATGCAGCCTTCAGACTGGCTATTTTCAGTAAGTAATATGCATTTAAGTTCCTCCATGTCTTTTTTTTTTTTTTAACTTAAGGTATAATTGACATATTAATTTCAGGTATACAACATAGTGATTCAATATTTGTATATATTGCTAAGTGATCACCACAGTAAGTCTAGTTAACCCCTCCATATCTTTTCATCACCTGATAGCTATTTTTTTAGTGTTGAATAATATTCCATTGTTGTGATGTATCACAGTTTATCCATTCACCTACTGAAGGATATTTTGGTTGCCTCCAAGTTTTGGCGATTGTGAATAAAGTTGCTATAAATATCCATGTGCATGTTTTATGTGGACATAAATTTTCAACTTGTTTGGGTAAATGCCAAGGAGCACAACTGTTGAATCATATGATAGGAGGATGCTTAGTTTTGTAAGAAATTGCCAGCATCTGGTGTAGTCAGCAATTGGTATTTGGACATTCTGATAGGTATAGTGGTATCACACTGTTGTTTTAATTTGCAATTTCCTTATGACATATGATGTTGAGGATTTTTCTATATGCTTATTTTCTATCTACATATCTTCTTTGATGAAGTGTCTGTTTAGGTCCTTTACCCACCTTTTAATCAGGTTGTTCGTTTTCTTATTGCTTACTTTCAAGAGTTCTTTGTATATTTTAGATACTTTATCAGATGTGTCTTTTGCAAATATTTTTTTCCCAGTCTGTGGCTTGTCTTCTCATTCTCTCGAACTTGTCTTTTTTCCCTTTTATTTCTCCATTCTTTCTCTTGTGTTAAATAGGTATTTTCTAGTGTACCATTTTACTACTTTGCCATTTCTTTTAATATATATTTTTTAGTTATTTTCTTAGTGGTTGCTCCAGGAATTAACATTTTAATTTATACAATCTAATTCAGATTAATATTGACTTAATTTCAACAGTACACAATTTGCTCCTATATAGCTGTTTGTGTTGTCACTGTCATATAAATTATATCTTCATGCATTGTATGCTTATCAACTCAAATTACTGCTTTATGCAGTTGTATTTTAAATGATATAGGACACATATATATTGTCTTTTATAGCCACCGATGTAGTTACACTTTAAATGATATAGGATGCACATAGATTGTCTTTTATATCTACCAATGTAGTTACACTTACCAGTGCTTTTTATTTCTTCATGTGCTCTTTATTTCACTGTCTAGTGCTCTTTGATTTCAGTATGAATGACTCTCTTGTAGGGGAGGTCTACGAGTGATAAAGTCTCTCAGTTTTTGTTTATCTGGGAATGCCTTAATTTCTCCTTCATTTTTAAAGGATAGTTTCACTGAATACAGAATTCTTGGCTGGCAGTTTTTTTCATCACACTGCCTCAATGGTTTCTGAAGAGAATTCAGCTGTTAAGCCTTACTGAGGATCACTTGCTGAGGATTAGCAGTCATTTCTTCAAATATTTTTTCTGCCCCTTCCCTCTCCTTCTGAGACTATTATTATGCTTACGTTGCTATACTCGCAGGTGTCCCACAAGATTCTGAGGCTCTGCTCATTTTTCTTCATTCTCTCTTTTTTTTTCTGTTCCTCAGACTGGATAATCTCAATGGACCTATTTAAACTTTGCTGATTTTTTTCTTCTGCCTTCTCAAATCCAGTGTTGAGCCCGTCTAGAGGATTTTCCATTTCAGTTGTTATACTTCTTAACTCCAGAATTTATTTGGTTCTTTTCTATAATTCCTGTCTAGTAACTGATAGTCTCTATTTCATGAAACATCGTTATACTTTCCTTTAGTTCTTTATATACAGTTTCCTATGTTCTGTGAACACACTTAAATAGCTTATTTAAGATCTTTGTCCAGTAAATCCAATGTTTGGGCTACCTCAGTTTCTACTGACTGCTTTTATCCTCCTGTGTATGAGCCATACGTTCTTGTTCTTTGTGTGTCTCATAGTTTTTTGCTGTAAAGTGTACATTTTATATGATGTGGCAACTTTAGAAATAAGATTATCCCCTTTCCCAGAGTCTATCTTTTTTTCTTGTTGTTATTGATGATCTAGTGATGATCTAGTCCGTTTCCAAACTAATTCTGTAAAGTCTGTGTTCTTTGTCACAGTTGGTCACTGGATTTTCTTCTTAGTTAGCTTAGAGATCAGCTAAAGGCTAGACAGAGACTTTCTCAACTAATAAGTGTCCCAATCTTTGCTAGGTTCTGTGTGTTGTGCTGGGGCACTCACCTAGGCAGTTTAGAACTCCACCTTGGCCTTTACTTCCTGCTTGTGCAGAGCTCCAAGGTTAGCTCTGCACAAGCAGGAAGTAAAGGCCAAGGTAAGAGCTTAGGACCTTGTCAGGCTCTTCCTAAGCATGCATACAGCCTTGGGCATACACACAGCCTTACGTATGTACTCCCAAGAATATTTTATACTTTTTCAAAGCCCCCTATGGACATCTCATTCCACAGCTTCTTCTTTTATGCTTTCTGGTTGGTCTGCTGTTTGCCCCAATTGTTACTGGCTTCTAAGACAGCCATGTTGTTAAATAGTTGTTGCTGATTATTCCTAACAAATGACTCTGGAGAAAATACTGTTTGCACATGGCAAGTTCTCAGTTAGGTTACACAAAGATGAGACTCTTGAGTAGGGTTTACCAGGGAACTGCCAGACTGGTCATATAATGACAATTCTCTGAGACTGGGGTTTGGAAAGAGCCCCAACTCCATTCTGATTTCTCCAGTGCCAGCAAGGCTACTAGAGAAATCAGAATGGAGTCGGAGCTAATTTTCACCACAATTGCATGCTATTGGTTTTCAAGGCTACTATGGAGCTGGGGAAAAGGAGGGTGGTATTAGAGCAAGTCAAAATGCTACAAAGCTTGGTGTTCTCAAAGAGATTCAGTTCTTTGTTTTTAATAAATCTTCCAGATCATTGTTAGCCTTGGGTTAATTTCTAAAGTTCTGAAAAAAGCTGACCTTGACCATTTTTGCCAGTGTTCTTGGTACTTTTTAAAGGAGAGTATTTTCAGATTTTGTTATTTTGGCACTCCCTCATTTTTAGATTTCTTTGAAAGATATTAGATTGCTTAAAGCAATGATGATAATATTATGTTGTGCGTTTATAATATGTTTAGAAGTACATGTATAACAAGAACAACATAAAGGATAGGAGGGAATAAATGGAAATATTCTGTTGTAAAAATCCTTTATATTATATGTGAAATGGTATAACATTATTTGAAGGTAGACTGTGATAAATTAAAGATGTATGTTGTAAATCCTAGAGCAACCTCGAAAGAATGAGAAAAAGAAATAGTCAATAGAAGAGAGAACATAAAATACTAAAAAATACTCAATTAATAAAAAGATCGCATTGAAAAGAGAAAAATAGCAAAAAACAGACAAGACAGAAAACAAATAGCAAAGTGGCATATTATGTTACAACTATCTGTGTGTACATATCTTCCTACCTATCTCTCTCATCTCTATATACATTTATTTTCTCTATTAAATTATGTTTACTAAATTTGAGTGATAAACAGAAATGAACCAAAGTTAACTGCTATAATGAATATCTATTGATTCTAATATCTATTTTCAAATCTGTGAGAATTTATAAAATTTTACTTCATTAATTCATTCATATATAAGACTATATGGAAAAATACAGAACTCACCTATCTATATAAAAATAAGTCCCATAATTTTAGTGTTATTTTAGAAATTGCTTTGTACAATTTCTTCATTTTACAATTAAGGAAACTAAATCAAAGTGATTAACTAATTGTCAATTAATCAAAATAGTCACATGGCTCGTCAACAGTACAGCCAGAGTAAAATTCATATTTCATAGCTTCTCCCAAGAGAAAAAAAATTTCCATGCAACACCAACCACATATATAACTATATATAATTTGTTCATTTCAAATAATTCCTCTCTAGCAGGTCTAGCCAGATTTCTATTTAAAAATATCTTATTAATTGTATGCCTATTTGAAAACAATCAAACTTTTAAAAATATATACTGTTGAATTTAGAGTGTCAAATAATTTAAATTCTCATCAATTAATCAAAATCATTGAAGAATACTGTACTTAAAGGAAAATAAAAAATACTGTGGCTAAACAATCATTTAAAGCACTGCCTACCACGTTCAGAGAACACAATCTTTCATTCAAACCAATGATTAATCATTCACACTTATGCCAAAATAACAAAAAAAAAAAGTATGACATCTGTGTGCTGTATTACCTGTAGCTCCCAGTGGGTGTCCCTTTGAAATTAATCCACCACTGGGATTAATGACCCACTTTCCTCCATAAGTATTATCTCCTCTATCAACCAGTTTTCCACCTTGTCCTACAGAAGGAAAAAAAAATTCACAAATGTTAAAAATAATGTTAGAATAAATGATATATTTTTTAACTTCCATATAGCCAAGAATTCCTTGCAGCAAACATTTTTTACAGCTCAAACATCAAATTTATATAAGCACATCTAAAAGTAGGTAATAAATATTGAGTAATAATTTTTCAGAACATTTCCTACATGAAACGAAGCACCTATTAAATATCAAGAGCTCTCTAGCTTCCAAAATTGCTACAAATATAATAAGAGATTCAAAGAACCAAAAGAAAAAAACTGAAATGGATACAATACTACACTAAAATAACTGAATTGGCTTTAAAAATTTATAATTTTG